TGAGTTTGCAAATGGGGGGGGGCTGCGCCCCCCCCCCCCCCCAACCCCCCCGCTTTTTTAAGCTAAACCCTAAAACCTAAACCCTAAACCCTACACCCTAAACCCTACACCCTAAACCCTAAACCCTAAACCCTAAACCCTAAACCCTTAAACCCTAAACCCTAAACCCTAAACCCTAAACCCTAAACCCTAAACCCTAAACCCTAAACCCTAAACCCTAAAAACCCTAAAAACCTACAACCCTAAACCCTAAACCCTAAACCCTAAACCCTAAACCCTAAACCCTAAACCCTAAACCCTAAACCCTAAACCCTAAACCCTAAACCCTAAACCCTAAACCCTAAACCCTAAACCCAACCCCCCCCGCTTTTTAGCTTCTTTCAAAGCATGTGAATCTTGAAACCCATCATGCAAGCAAACTCATCATGCAAGCATTGAGTTTGCAAATGGGGGCGGGCTGCGCCCCCCCCCAACCCCCCCCGCTTGGGCTGCGCTCCCCCCCCGCCCAACCCCCCCGCTTTTTTAAGCTAAACCCTAAAACCTAAACCCTAAACCCTACACCCTAAACCCTACACCCTAAACCCTTAACCCTAAACCCTGAACCCTAAACCCTGGGTATATAGGGTTTATAGGGGAGGGCTCAGTACCCCCTCGACCCAAGAGGTTCCCGACCAGCAAGCCAGAAAAAAACTACAAAAAAAAATCGGAAAAAACTACGGAAAAAATCCCAGCCCCTTGGGCCAGGTTTCGCTGGGTAGAGAGGGCAAGGTTTAGGGCTGAGGGTGAGTCCGTCTAAGCCCGAAACCCTGAATCCGTAAGCCCACCCCTTGATTGAAGACGCGGTCGTTAAACTGGGAGCTTACACTTAAACTCACCAACCGAGCTGATCTTTAGTAGGGAATTGGGGGAACGAGGTCCTTGAGAGGGTAACACACAGGCGTGAGGCGAAAGGTGTGCAGGACCCGCGCAAGTTGTCCATGCCAAAAGCAGCGCCTCGTGAATTCTACTACTGGAGTTGTGAGTTGAGACGCTTAACCCTGCAAAAGCCGAAGCCCCCCCCCCCCCCCCGGCTTCCGAAGTGAACGTCTGAAGGCTTGCGCATCCTAATCCCGAAAAAGGCCCTAGACCTATCTCTAAGCCCTACACCCTGAACTCTGAACCGCAAATACACCCACAAATCCTAAACCCTTCATTCACCCTGAACCCCGAGCATTCCCAAACTAGCCTACAAACCATATGATAAAATCCGCAACGACCTGGCGACTCCAGCGTAAACCCCTAAATCGCACACGCCTTAACCCCTAAACCCCTTAAACCTTAAACCCTAAGCCCTACACCTTTTTGTGGTCGGGGGGGTTTGGGATTTCGGCTCTATCCTCTGGACAACTCTCTCAAATACAGCCCCCTTTAAAACATAGCACTACGAACCCTGCAACCACCCCCCCCCCCCCCCCCCCCTAAAACTAAGCAACTGAACCCCGACTTCCTCGCCGTGGCAAGGGCTGTGATTCTCATGAACGCTCTCAAGGCGGCGATCGGAGGGTTTAGGGTTTAGGGTTTGGAGCTCTTGAAGTGTCATGGCTACTTGCCGGTGGAGTTAGAGAAGCTACAGACATCTTCATGAAGGTGACAAGGTAGGTGAAGCCCTCCAATACCATGAGTTTCGTGCCC